ATCTAACTCAAAGAATTCTTATTTAAACGTAATGGAAGAGTCTGCTAGAATTTTTACTGGAGTATTAAAATGCTTAGTACAAGATGCTTTTCTCTCAGTAAATTCTCCGACTGACTGGAAATTACATTTGATCTATTTCTCGTCACGTGCAATTTTTCCGACGACAGAATTTACATATAAATAAATAAATTATACAATAAATTATACAATATTAGATAGCAATATGTTTTCAAGTAAAAATAGCTTTTGTCCGGCAATGCTGAATTAATAAAAAAAATCATCAGTATTACAGGAATTGTGCTAATGAATCAATCGCATAGAGATAGGGAAACCGTTTGGGTTGCTATCTGTAAAAGTCACGTCGTTTAAGAAAGTTAAATTCTGATTGCTTTTAAAATTAAAAAAAACTTGGTCATACACTTTATATTTTTTTGTGGTTACAATAGGTAATCTATTAGAGCTGATGATTTTTTTTCTAAAAATTAAATAGTGCCACTCTCACTTCATTAGTAGAACCGATATTTTAACTAAACAAAAATACCATGGACGTAGTAGAAACAAAATAAGTAGTTCAGAAATAATAACAACTTGATAACATCTGCAACGTTTAATCTTATCTTCATCCACAAACCTCCTTATCCTTTCTTCGAGCAGATCTTTTACTTCGCCCGCCTTATTTCTCTCCATGTCCATAAGACGTCTAATTAGTCAATTCATTGTTTTAATTGAGGAAGTAATATTCGTAAGACTACGTTATATTGCTATTGTTAAACCAGTTCATTCATATCTTTCTTATTCTTTGAGAAATCTCATTCATAGCCCAGATAACCATCGGTTGATCCAGTAATAGAGCATAAAAGGAAATGGGTGGGTCTAGACAGTTGAATCATATATGTTCTTCCTATTTATTATTACAATGTTCTACTTCTGATTACGAGTCTATCTACTGCAAAAATAAATTGCAATTATAAATTCAGAGTTTATTGTACCGGCATGGGTTGATCTCTATATATGCTGTGGAGAAATTACACTAATTCCATTCCAAGTTGGAGTAAAATATTAATTGTTAGAATACA